GGAGGGGAGGGGAGGGGAGGGGAGGGGAACTAGCCTGGTGGAAGCAGCAGGGGCGGCAAGGCAGAACGGTGCACTAAAAAATCTAAAGAGCTCATTCTGATGCTGGAGGAAGTGAATCGGCCCCGCCGGGCCAAGCAGAGCTTTCTCCAGAGCACGCAAGTCGGGTGGGACCCTTGCGCGCCTCCTCCGAGCCCCCACAGAGCCGCCTGAATGCCACCAGGCCAGGCGAGTGCAGACTGCAAGGCGGCCGGGGCCCGCTGGCACCCGCGGAAGGCCCGTGACGCGGCCACCTTCCCAGAGTGAAGCCACGCCGCTCCGTGCCCCAGTGGGAGAGTGCGCCCAGCAGCCACGTGAGAGCCCAGCTGCGGAAGAAGGACCGACAGTGACTGCGTTCTGTTTAAGATTAGCTCCTGGGGGGCCCATCCCAGGGTGGGTGTGACAGAAGGCAAGAGGGGCCAGAAGGACCAGTCTACTCTTATTGCCAGGAACTAAGCCTTAGGAGACACAGTCAGCCTTTTAAATTTGGGGGGGGGGGGGGGGCAAAAAAACCCGGAAAACCCCAAAAGGAGGGGGGGTGGGGGGGGGGGGGGGGGCGGGGGGGGGGGGGGTCCTAGAGGGCCCAATTTGCCTCACAGGCCAGGGGTAAATGGACAGTTCAACTCAAGACCTCTCGACACAGAAGTCAAGCCCTGCTGGGTTCGTGGGGTTTATTCCAAGAAGCAGGAGCAGTGGGAAGCTCTCCGGAGAATCCCAGGCAGCCGGGTGAGACTCCAGGCCTGAGATCCTGCAGACCCACATCACATGACAGGAAGGATCACTGCCTTCGGGCTTGGGATGGAGCTCTGGAACCAGCCAGATACTGGGGAAGGCTGACACTCCACCAAGCCGCCACGCTCAGAATGGGGGGGGGGGAGCAGAAGTCCCAGAGCTGCTGAAGACGATAGTCCAGTGGGGAGGCCTCAGAAAGCCAGCTCTGCGCTCTGCTGAAGTTCCCGTGGCAGAATGATTCATGCTAAATAAGAGGGCCAGTCAGTTTGAAAATCTCTTTTTCCTCTAAACAGACAGAACAGGGAACACGAGGCTGCCTCGCATCAGCTCCAACGACGAGGCTAAGCTAGATGAGCCAGTCTGGTTATTTTGGTTGCCACAGGTGAGCAAGAATTCCATGCAGGTGAGCAGACAAGCGGGGGGGCGGGGGAGAGACAGGTGCCATCTCTCCATCAGCCCACTCCATGGCACTTTTTTTTAAAATGGGCAGCTAGGTAGCAGAACCACTGTCTCTGTGCTGGCCGCCAATGGCAGGATGCCCGGCGCCCCAGCTGGCACGGAGGAACACACGGCTTGCCCCCTACCAAGCGAGCATTTGTGGGGGGAAGGAGAAGCAGGCTAAGAGGCTGCAGCCCCCTAATATACTGGTGTACAATCCCCATAATCCCTCACTGGTGGCTGGGCCTGCCCAGAGCCATGGGGAAAAGCTACCCCCAGGCCACCAAGTGCCCACTGCTGAGTGAAATGGGGAAGCCAGGGGACAGAATCGGGGCCCCCGCAAGCAAAGCACCACTTAGCTGCAGCCCCTCCCCACAGGTCTGCGCCGAGGCAAAGGTACCTCAGTGCACCTGAGGACACACCTGTGCTATTTGCACCTGACTCCCCCCCTCCCCGCAGACAGACAGACAGACAGACACACACACACATACCCTCTCTCCCAGGTGTGGCTAACACGGGACACGTGGCAGATAAAGGGGGTGGGGGAGAAACACCGCATCGAAAATGGCTCACCTGTTGAGCGCTGAGGGCAGTCTGATTAGGTGTCCTTTCTCCATGGGCAGGTTGCCCCAGGGCACGGTCCTTCACAGAGAAGAAGAGCAATGTCACTTCACGGCCGGGCAAAGGTGTGCACCGAAGGCATTTGTCGCTTGGCAGCATTGCGGAGAGGAAGGGGGGGGTGCAGCCAGGTGGAGGAGGAGAGGCCATGAAGGAGTTTAAGGGGAGACAAGGGAAACAGCAAACATCCCCCCCCGGCCCCCGCCGGCCAGCTTGTGCAGGGCTACACGTCCCATCACCCACCTGCCCCACCAGTATGTGCAAGACTACATTTCCCTCCATGCAACACGTGCAGGACTACAGCTCCCACCACCCCCAACCACGCAGGCCAGCGGAAGTGTAGCCCAGCACTTCAGGGAGGCTGGCAGAGGGCTGCTCTGGAGTCTGCAGGCCAGATCCAAAACTTGTGCTGTGAGTAAAGGCGGGAGATTCCGGATCGGTTGCCTGGGGCTCGGGGACTGGTTGCGGCAGGTGCAGGGGACTGCAACATGCAGAAGATGGGCTCCCAAGAGCCTGCTGTTCTAGCCACGTTTAAGGATCAAGTTTCTAGTTCTCATGGGTACAAAGCAGGGGGAAAAAAGCCCCAGCAGGACAGGTTGAGAAGCAAGGCTTCTGCCTTCCCCAGCGGCAACCAGTCCCATGTCTTAGCATCCTGCTAGCCAAAAACTCTTCCCATGGTCCAAATTGGGACACGGGGGTGGGGGGGGGACCACTTTGCCCCCAACTGAGAAAACATAAGTGGAAATATTTGGACCCGTACGTGGGTCCGGACCTCCAGCCCCCTCCCTACTTATTCCCTTCTCTCTGGGAAAAGCCACTCTCTCCAGCAAGCCTTTCACAATCCATCCAGGAGAGCACCATCATTTTTATGTGCACAGGTACAAGCAGGCTTAATCCTGCCCCCAGTTTCTTTCTCGGTGTCGTAATTCATTCTGCTCTTGGGGAACTGGGTCCCAAGTACAGAGTTCAATTACCTTTGAAGAAGCAGCCAATGACGAAACAAAGACCAGTGTTTTAGCCCTTAAGGTTGATAGATTATGTATTTCTAAAGCCTGTTGAGATATATTCTTAAAACACCTGACGAAGACTCAGAAGCCAAAAAGTTGGTTGAGCACCATGTTTGGGGGTGGGGGGAGACTTTAGCAGCCAATTCGGCACTTGGGCCTTTTCCCACAATGAACAAAAGCAGGCCTATTAATAGCAGCAGCTTATTATTTTGCATTATATAGCAATTTGCAAGTTCCAACTGTAGCCCAAAGCACCTCAAAGGCACCAGACCACAGAATTACAGAATTGGAAGACTCTGAGAAAGCTTGGCATTTTTTTTACCGGCTTTCTAGCAGTGTCTTAGCTACACTTTTCCCTCCGCTACCCCAACAAAACTTGCAACCAGGCCCAGTTACGGTGGTTGTTAGAAAGCTGTGCGGGCTTGGGGACAGGGGGAACGGACTGGAGAGACACGGGAAAGCCCATGCCACTGGGAACACCTCCAAAGCATGCAGCTTTTGGAACAGGGAATAAATGAGCGACTGTGCAGGACAAAGACCTGTGTAGCACAATGAACACTGTTTCTCTCGCCCACCGAAATTACCCAGAATGCCCTGGGGGGGGGAACCAGGCCAAGAAATGGTCCCAGATTATCCCAGGGACTCCACGGCTTAGAGCTGGGAGAGAAGTGCTGCATATACTACCTGGAAACTATCAGAGATGGAGGGGACACATCTGCAAGCTTGTACTTGGGACAGGCAGCCTCTCGCTGCTTGACCACACGGCTGGCCCTGGGCACAGGGTCAGCCCGAAAGTTAGTCGGCAGCTCTCCACGCCCTCTGGTTGGAGAGCCCTTGCCAGAATTGCGGGCCATAAGAGAACAGTATTCAGGGAGGAAGCCGGTTTTGAAAGTCCCTTCCTGTCTTAGGCAAAAAATAAAAGTCCTGCAGAGAAACAGGCTGTAAAGAATGGACTACGGCACTTCAGACTGGAGGATTGTTTGTTCGGATGTTTGCTTGGAAAGGCAGAGATGGACGGGACTAAAACCCTAAAACCTCAAGGAAGCGCCAAGGCTGCCGCCTGCAGCCACGACGTCGGGGATGGCGGAAGGAGCAGGTGGAGCGATGCAGCTACAGCCGGCCTTGCCTCCGCTCAGCCCGACTCACTGATACGGAGGGAGGAGGGCTCCACCCATGAAAACCAGCCCACTGCTGTACCAGCTTCTGGTGCACCCAAACCCACGGCAAATTTCATAGCAGGTCTCAACCCAGGACGTCAAGCTTGCAGGGGAGGTTTGATGCGAGAGCACTGGCTTCACTTCTCCACCTCCACTAAGCAAGGATGCGGGAATCTTTACGGAGCCTGGGAAAAGCAGCATGCGGTCGGACAGGTGGAGAAAACGCTTCGACCCTCAAAGAAAGGGGCCTTTACCTCCTCCAGCTCGGCTCAGCAGGAGGGGACAAGTACGCAGGGCTGTAGGGGGAGCTATCGATGTGAGAAAAGGGTTAAGGAAGACGCAGGCAGAGCTGGGGGGCTGCTGATGACAAAGCCCAGCTCCACAGATGGCCCCGGGCAGCAAGTGTGTGCTAATGCTCTTTAATCCCCCAGAGCTGGGAAGACCTGCCACCCCTCCCCTGGACCGGGGACAGAGCAGGCACGGGGGCCGCGAGGCGAGGCCAAAGGATATCTGGCGTATGCAGCGGCGCAGGGGAGACATCATCCGCCGGGGGTCCCGCTGCACCCGTTCCACCAGGCCGTGATGCCGTGTGCCACGGGCAGAATCCAGCGGTGAATGGAGCGGGCCCTGGACAGACACGGAAAGGGGGAAGGCAAAATTAAGAGGAGCGTCAAAACCCGGATCCGAAAGCACAGTGCGGGCGGTGGGAGGAAAACTCGATTCCGAGGCTCGGTGCTCAAGGAAACGGGAGGAATTTTTGGCTCACTTTTGCAGTGATAGGGAAGAAATCTCAGCATAGGGGCTACGCAGAAATCAGCGGGCTCAGTTTTACTGGGAAGGATCGGCTGGGGGGGGATGCTCCCCCATGAGGGTGTTCCCCCACCTGCACCACTCCCCTTCCTTTGTTCATTCCAGGAGTGGGGAGGAAAGTAAACCAAGGCAAAGCCCCCTACACAAACGTTGGGTGGTCCAAGGCTTCGCCGCGGGACGTGCACACACGTACGAGAGCCCACACAGGGAGCACTCAGCTCCGTTTATGATGTTTATCAGACACTCCAATGGGGCTGGCATGTTTTAAAAAAGGCACCCTTCTTGGAATTGCAAGCATTTCCCCCCGCCCCAACCCTAATCCAAATGGCCAGACCATTTCCACCCCCCCCCCACCAGCCTCTCTGTTTGGGAGGACAGGAGGTGCAGGGGAAACAAAAACTCAACAGATGCACAAGGAAGGCCACTTATCTCAGGCAAGCCCACCCACCAATCCTGCTCTTCCTGGGAACTCGGCAAAAGAGCCAGGCCGCCCTGTCACCAAGGGCAAGGCTGCGGGATCCACTGCAGGGCTTGTGTCTGCCTTGAACAGAAATTCAACAGGCCATATTTCACTCAGCATGCTGCTGGGAACGCAGCCCCTGTTGGATTCTTGCCTGAGTCCTGTTGAACTATGAGGCGGAGGGGGGGATCCCTGGACCTACTTTGGCAGAGGCTGCATAAAGGGTTTTTTCAGCCCAGTCGTGGAAAGGAATCCAAGTTCAGGAGAAGGACCCCTTGCCCCTTGCCCCAAGGCGGCATTCGAGCTGGCCCAAGCAGCCTTGACGTCTCCTTCGGCCCAGGCATGGGTTACCTGGAACTCAGAAGCTCCACTCCCGATCTGGTTGACGTTGGGTAGAGAGCCGCCATAGTACGGGCTTCGGCTGTGAGCTAAACGCAGCTTCTGGGCCTGCAACTGAGCCAGAGGAGAGAGCAAAAGGAAACCCTGTGAGTTTACAAACCTGCTCACCCAGATTCTTCCTTGACCGGCCCTGCATTTCAACGGGGCTTCAGAGCCGGCCAAGTGCGTTCGGCGTTAATGACCGCAGCAACGATCCTTCTGAGACCCTTGCAAAGCCGGGAGCTGGGGGAGAACGCCGCAGGGACCGCCAAACACCCAGAGCGGTCCTTCCGTACAAGAACAGAGCAGGCGTGCGCTGAACATTAAGTGACTGATTCTCCCTTTGCCCCCCGCAAGCTGACACTGAGCGTGCCGGCCACCTGACCCCCATGGACAGCACCCTCCGCTTCCTGCATTCCCTCAGGTGCCCCCATGTTCTCTTGCCAGGAGACCTTCCTGTCCGCAGGAAGCAGGAGAAGCTATGCCAACCCGTTAGTTAATGTTGACGAAGCAAAGAGTCTGATTTTTTGCGTACTTTGTCAGGCCAGGGAAGGGGACAGGAAGTGATGGACCGGGAAGGGCACTTCATCACCTTCTGCTCAGGAAGCACCATTAGGGAACAAATCCACCAGGGCAAAAGATGTCATGAGAGGCACTACTCCCAAATGCTCCGAAAGGAATAGGAAACGCTAGACGGAATCAAGGAGACCCAGCCTAGGGCTGTCATGGCTGCAGATTAGGCCTGGAGGGCCAAATCCACCCTTCTGCGGGGCCCACAGAGCCACATTCCCTTACCCAATGTGACAGCGTGGCCTAGCAGTTAAGGGTGCTATCTTCCAGCCCGTGCCCAGTTATGAAGCTCTCTGGGCGACTCTGGGGCACGCGCTGACTCGGCCGAACGTTATTTATCATTTCTCTATTCACGTAATTTCTATCCTGTCCAATCGCCAAGCCGCCCTAGACAATAAACAACAGTGGCGGATACGGGAGGACATGGTATCGAACAAAATAACAACACTTCACAAAATTAGGTAAAGCATTAGAAATGCATTCAAAACCCCATTTTTACAACTAAACAGCTAAAACCGGGCTGTACTACTAAGCCTACCCAAAAGCAACTGGCAATACCTATCTCACAGGACTGCTGTGGGTTTAAAATGAAGAGGAGTGTGTTAGCATTCCGGGTCCCTTGCAGGGAAAAAAGGCAAGCTGTACACAGAATAAATAAAATATAAACCCGGTCGTGCCCGTTTTGCCCTGTTGGTGCTTTCCAGGTTTCTGTGCATTTCCCACTCCCCCCAGCTTATAAAGGTGGAAATGCCTCCCCTAAGAACCAGTTCCCGGGAGCTGTTAAGCTCAAATGTCCGGGTATTTTTATGTTTTGGGCCCACCCAGCAGTGGGACACGGCCCCCGAAAAGCTGCTCAAAACGGTATTCAGCTCTTGGGCTGAAAGAGGGTCGATGCCACTGCCTTAAGGACGAACACTCTTCATCTGGCACAAACTTTTGTGGACACGATCCACGCCCCTTGGAGGTGAAACTACCAGGCCGGGAGGGCGGGGGGAGACACCAGCAACGCTTCACAAGGATCCCTCTAACTTCCAGCGTCCTGTCAAGCTGAGCAGGAAGGTTTCTCTCTTTCAGGGGTTACATCAACTGCAGTCTATGGAGGGAATGACTTGCTAAACCATCCCCTGGAAGAACAGGAGAACATGGGAAGCGTTTTGCGGCTTGCAAGTGAGAAGCAAAGGGGCGACTGGCATTCATCATAGGAACCCTGTCGCGTACAGAGGGGAAGACGCCTTCCAGCATGTGCAGCGATGCGCCTTTCTGGATGCAGGAGGACCCAGGTTTCAATCTGCGCGCCTCTGGGATGTATTACGGGCGGTTAGCACTCAGCAGTACCTTCCACATGGGCAGAAGCAGAAGGCGGCGGCAGGCTTCCTCTGCCGATGCTAACTCAGCACACGGGAAGACGTTAGGAGAAAAAGGCACTGGGGCTCACCTTTTCCTGAACTGAACCCTCCAGCGAGAAACTAGAAATTTACAGGTCCAGCTGTTGTCATCCTGTGCACAGAGGAGCCGGAGAGAGCCACACAGGATGGTGTCCTGCTGAGTCAGAGCATCAGTGTTGTTTCTGGCAGCGGCCCTCAGACAAGAATCATTCCTAGCCCTACCCGAGGATGCCGGGAATCGACCTTGAAGCCTCTGGGTTGCCAAGTCACTGCTGAGCTGGAGCCCCTCTCAGGGTGCGCTGCAAACGCACTCTGCGCATGCACTTAGTCATCCAAACTGGAATCGGGATTTAAAACGGGCACGCTCGGGGTCCAAACGAAGGCAGCTGAAAGCAGCTCCACCGCCATCCCACTACTGAAAGGTGAGATAAGCAGCCTTTGGTTTTCCAAAAGGGACTTGAAAAATACGGCCAATATATGGGCGTATATTTAACAAGGGAAAAGGTGGCAGAGTCTCTGCTTAGCGAGTGGACTCCAATCCCCAGCATCTCCAAGCATCTTTGTCTGAGATCCTGGAGAGCCACTACCCATGAGCATAACAGCACAGACACCCTCCAGATATTTTGGACTGCAATGCCTAGCAATCCTGATCGCTGGCCAGGAGGGTGGCTAAAAACCAGTGAACTGTAGAATTATTTTTTTTACAAATGTAAATCCATTTCCTGTTATTATTTTAACCAACTTCAATCAAGCACTGCATTTCTCCACAACTTAAGCCATCTAGTTACAATTGTAATGATAAGCTAATCCGACACTTCCAATCTCATAAAACCAAACCTGCCTACTAAACAAACATGATTGTTAATTTCAGTTTTTCATCTCATGAAATGGCTCTGTCCAGCCTAACAGCTTTTGCTTTCGGAAAGTTTTGGGCTTTCAGTTTCTGTGACTGAAATCACATGTGTGAAGAAAGAGGCTAGACAGGAATTCTGCTCTGTGGTGGTGGAGCTGGGCCAAGCCAGACAGAGGAATTGCTCAAGACAATACAGCAGGGGGAGTAAAAATAGATGTTTAGAATACCTTTTTACAATGCATTTTTAAAGATTAGATTTGGGGGGTTTTTTCCCAGCCTAGTGACTATGGAACCTTGCTTTGAGGCATCAGTCACGGCCATCTGTGTCTGCGTCTTGTTTTTTTGTGACGGCAAGGCAGGGCCAAGACAGGGTGAAGCAGCAAAGGAACGGCGCTGGAGAGGAGGAGGAAAAATTGTCCAGTGAGCACATTCCTGTAATTTCACACTGAGGCAGCAACCCTACGCTCCCATCCTATTGGGTGGGAAGCCTCACTGGAAGTTACTCCTGAGGAGACACGGACAGGAGATGCTGGTAACCTGAAAATATCACGAGTACTGGCCATAAGAAATAGCCTACACGGGAGTATTTAAAGGTATTTTCTCTGCAGGTTAAATGGGAAACACGCAAAATATATAGCCTGACGAAGACATGTGTACCATGCCTGTGAGAATGAAACATGGGACACAGAAATCTGTTTGGTATACCAATGTTCAAAAAATATATGAAAAAATGTCAGTGGGTAACTACTTAAGTCAGTGATCTAAGTCAGTGCTGATATAAAAATTTAAGCCTGTATTTTAAAAAAGCTGCATTGGCTGCTTTGGGGGTTATTTTATCACCCCAGAGTAAACTGCACTAGGCAGGCCAATGCAAGGTATGAAAAGACCTTTGTTGGACCAAAGGCTTCCCTTGCAGCAGGTTAGAATCAGCATAAGAATGGATTTCAGGTCTCAGCTAATGCAGGTAATTTCAGACAATCTTTCTTGCATTCTAGCAACAAAATTTGCACAACAGTTGCAATGAGTGTAAAACAATGGCTTGGCCCATAAACTTCAAGTCAGCCTAACAAAGCTTTCCCTAAATGGATTTCGGTTTTTGTTTATTTGTTTGGCCTGAGGGGCTTGCGACACTTCCTGGCTCTCAAAACAAACTTAAAATAACCTTTAGTTAACCTCATTTCATGCCCCAATATGTGTATGCTCTTTGGGGACTGGAAAGCACCTCACTGGCCTTTTGCCAGGCAGATTTCCGGGACATTTTATGCCCCAGGCATTGTTGGTTCCTGGAAAGAAAAATCTGAAAGGCAGCTGGCTGAAATTCGAGGGCACTAGAGGTCTAGATGGAAAGATCTACCAATGTATAAATTACAAAATGCAAGCCTTGGGTAAGGAAGTCACTAGAATCACAGATTCCTTTGATGTAAATCAGTCCACCCTGGCTTGGCCTGACAGGAGTTGAGCTCCGAGACATCGGAAGGGTTGGGGCGGATCATACGCACCTAGGCAGACCCATGGCCTAATGTGGTTTTAGCATCAAGGACAGGCATAGCTGGGCACCTGCCAAGGGCCCGTGTCACAACAGCCAATGTGAAACCGGAGAAGCGAGAGCGCGGATGGTGACAACGGCCAGGAGAAGGCCAACTCGCGGAGGAAGAGGGTGCGCTGAAAATGCCTTGCCCAAAACCGTGAAGATGCTCGGAGAGGCTGCCAGGTATAACACAACTCCTCACACTTCTACATGGGATTTAAAAAACTCCCACTCCCCAAAGGAGTTGGTCCAAGATGCTTTTTAAAAGCTCTGATTCATGCTCACCTGGTGTCCTCCTTGCTCCGTGCCAACCGGGCGGAAACTTCAGCGGGGCCATAAAGCCACCTCTTACCCAGTGAGTTAGGCAGCGGTGAAACCTGTGCGGAGGATCTTCCTGGCTCAGCAAACAGCCTGGCTGGCCCGAGAAGCAACTTCAGCGAAGGTCCAGTGTCAGCTGACACCGGGCCACCTTCCTCCACCGGCGGCAAAGCCCTGGCTTCGGGACAGATCGGTTTTGGAGTGCCCGAGGTTTGATCTCTGCCTCTGCCACGTTTATCTGCCTTGGGGATCACACATGCCACAAACCTTTCTGGAAGGACTGGTTTGGGACACACCCAGGATTGGCCCCTCGGGGCACAGAATTAGCAACCCTACCAAATCAGCTGCCCCTTGGTCCAGCTGAAAGTTAACCGGCTGTTTGCTGAGCACATACGGCGACCCTGGCACATCACTGTGGCACCGAGGAACAGAAGGGCCCACCGCAAAGCAAAACAAAACCTGATGGCACTCATGAGCCAGCCCTCCCCTAGAATCCTGAAGCAGGGGCAGGTTCAGAAGCCAATCCACCAAGAGGAAGAGATCTCACGCTGCATTTGAGAAGCAAGTCACTCGTTCTCAGGATTGCACAAAAATATTTGAAGGGGCAGCAGGAGCTGAACAGGAAAGGGGGTTACAATTCCTAGTTATCCACACCCTCATTTTGAGGAATACATTATATTTTATTATTTTATTAGTTAATTATTTTCCATACCACCCTACACCTGAAGTTCTCTTTTAGGAGGCAGCATGCATAGGACTCGGCAAATATTAATAATTATACGCTAGCTTTAAATTCTGAGCCATTAAGGTTTCTTCTGAGAACTCTGGCTAGCAGTTACTGAAAGGAAACGGGGATCCTCAATCAGGACAGGTTTCCATACAGTTCCTACTTGGTCACCTAGGGTGACCAGGCATTTCCCCTAGGTAACCAAGGTGGAAAGCTGACTTGGCACAAAAGGACAGGCAAACAGGTAGACAAGCAGGGCAGTCAATGTTGTTTTAAGATCGTAACCCGTTAGAGAAGCTGGAGTTCTTTCGCTCCAGCTTGGCAACATGCCCCACCAAACAGCAGAACGCCCTATGGAATCACGGAGGTGCCTTGCTGCTCAGTTCTGGGAACACCAATTCATTTTCGCCTCCTTTGCCTTTTGGCATTCTGAACTCAGAAGCCTTTGCCCCTTTCGTTAGTGGGAGGCATGTGGCGTGCGGTTTGCAAGGCATGCAGCAAGGGCCAAGGCAAGGGAAGCTGGAATGGAATGAGGGCCGTTGGTGGCACGAAGGCACGGACTGTTCTTAAAGAGAGAAATGGTTGATGTTTCACGGTTTTCTGGAAGGGAAGAAAGCTTTTCTTCCAGGTCAAATAATTGCAACCAGCTTCCCCAGTCTCAGTACCCCGCAGATGTCTTGTATCACAGCTCTCCCTAGCCCCAGCCCTTGAGAGTTGCAAATGGCTAAAGCTTATCGGAGGTGTGGTCCAAAAAATCCAGAGAGCAACACAGAGGGAAAAGGTGATTACAGGCTGTGTGCACCCCACACCTTCCCCCAAAAGGCCCCCCTTGGCAAAACCAAGGTGATTTGGTCATAGAAGTCAAACAAACAGAAGTGCATAAATGTGGGATGCGAATCTTGACGATGGTGTGGATAATTTGTATGTCTGTGGGTGGCGGGGGGCAGTCAAGGGGAAGGGGATATGCTGGCAGAGGACCACTGACGCATTTAAGCCTAGGTACACCAGTTGCTGGAATGCACAAGGAGCAAGGCAGAGCATTGGTCTACTCTAGCACAACCTTTCTAAAGTCCTCAGGAGCCTGACGGATGCCTTACCAGAATTCCCATCTTCTCTAAACACGTGTCCAGGACGGCCGGCTCCCACCAAGCAGTGCAAGATCAGGCTCTGTGATTGGGCAGGCAGTAAAAAGCCACTGGATGGAGGAGGCACGTTTACCCGGAAAGCCTGGCCTTGGGTGTCCCTGTATTCAGTTCTTGCTCCAAGCCGGGGGGGGGGGGGGCGGCGAACACGCATCGGAGGCTGTCCTCAGCCCCATCTGGCTCAGCTCTGGCCAGGCAATGCCAGCTAGACTCCCCACGACAGCCCCCTCGATCGCCTCTCTCTGGGACATTTTCTCATCCTTGGCCCTGACTAATTTTAACCCCTCTCCAGGGAACAAGTGTTCCCACCTCTTTCCCGTGGGAGATTGATCCAACACTGGCCAGATCAGCTGGAGAAGAGGAAGAGGGGGGTCGTCTCCTTGACACAGGGAATATCGGAAGCCAAGAGCGAGGCAGCCCCACCAGCATCTTTCAGAACAGACATTCCATTTTTAATGCCAACTGCTGAAACAATATTCTCAGATGCTCGCCACATTTCAGAGCTCCGAAACACAGACATCGCTACAGGCGGAACATCGGCGGGAGGAGAAAAAGCAGAGAACAAGTCACTCCGCGATACTGGCAGGAGGGTCAGCGTCTGCTGCCTAGGCCCAAGGACAGGCGAGACCCCTCCCTCTCTCTCCAGCAACAAAACAAGGGTAAGAGACGCAAACAGCAGGGCTGGAACACCAGCAGCTGCGGATCAGCTCAAGCCACTTTTCATGTGCGCAACCCAGAACGTGTGGGCGTAGAACATGCAAGAATGGGAGAAGTGTCCAAGGAACACACGATCACTGGCATGAAGTCCGATTTCCGCACACAAGGCTCCTGTTGGTTCTCTCCAGATAGGCTGCATCAGGCACCTTCGTCACTCTACCAGTGGCACCGCTCAGCTGAAACTGCCTCAGTACCACCACCTGCCCACGTCATGTAGACCAGTTAGCCCTAGGCCTGGTGCAACCAAAAGAAGGACTTGCACCGACGCTCACAGCCCAGAAGCCGAGTCCTGCAGAGCATTTCACCTCTATCGCCTACGCCGCCAGAAAGACATGTGCACACCCGTCCAGCCCACCCACCCACCGGATGACCTCCAGACTCCTTCCCTAAAAGGTGGCCTGATATATCACCTCTTCAAGGCCTAAGCCTTCCCATTCCCTTGTTCTCCCCCATCCCCGTCCTCAGTTCTCTGCTCTAAAGTGTAGCAATAAATAGTGAACCCTTCCCAAGCAGCCTCAACTTCTCCAACATCAAATTCTGTTTAACTACCGGAAAACCTCTTCCACAAAGTCCCTATGCTCTCATTTAGCTTCACCCCCTTTTCCAAACACTCCACTCAGAGTGGATTGCCCCCATTTCCCATTCTATAAGCACATTTTTACAGTGATGCCTCCATCTCCCCAAAGCAGATCCCCAACACCCCACTTGACCTATACTAACCCTTCCCTACAGCATCCCCGTTTTTCAGCATAAGATGTCACCTCCGGCTTCAGATTCTTCCTCCACTGCCCCCCCCCCACATCCAAAATAGCGCCCACAATACTTCATACACGCTTAAGTGAACAGCCTGTCATTCATTTGAACCCTTAGGTTCAAGATCATTCACTCTCACAGGACTCTTCTCACTACCTTCCTCCACTCACCCACATCCCAAGAACAGCCCTGCCTCTCTGCAAACTTCCCCCTCCTTACATTTTCAGTCTTGTATCTCCCCATCTTAATATATATCCTCAGCTTAGGCCACCCTTTTCTTCCCCAGCCCACCCCAGGTGCTCAACCCCTTCTTTCACCTGCTGGTGTTGCTGTTATGCTTTTATTTTTATCATGTTTTATCCCTGCATCCTGCCTTAGGAAGCCTCTCTCACTGAAAAACAGCCAAGATACATTCAATTAAATAAACAAACTAATAAGCCCTTCCCCCAAAACCTAACAGAAACCCCTCCCTATTATTTCACTCAGCCTAACCCCACCTCATTTACACTCACCAAACATTCACATTCCACCAACACAAACCCCACATTCCTTCATCTCACCCCCTTTATATCCTTAGAACCCCTCCTCCCATGAGTACAGACCAACCCCTCCATTCCTCCTCCATTTACCCCCCCAGTCTAAGCTTAGCCTCCCCCCCATGAATAACATTTATTTATTTATTCTCAATATTTATACACCACCCCATCCCATAAGCTCTGGGTGATTTTCCAGGAAACAATATCCCGTTACCTCAGTCTCACACTCTCTCCCATTGACATCCCAGGACATCCCGAGTCCTCCGTTCAGGCCCCTCAGCCCCTTCCCCGTTCACCCCAAGGTAAGCCCCCCCCCCCATAGCCTCAGCAGCCTCATTCTCGTGCCCCCTCGGCCCCTCCAACACAGCTCCCATTTATACTCTCGGTCCTCTCTGACACCTCCCAGCCCATCAGCCCCCTCCCAAAGGCCCCACAGCCCAAGGCCAGCCCGCTCCCGTTCCCCCAAGCGGCCCCCCCGCGCAAGCCCCGTGGCCTAGGTCACCCCCGCCACGGCTCTGCCCCCATTACCTGAGCCGCCCCCGCAGCCCCCCCCGCGGTTTACGCCCGTGGGCCCCAAGCAGCGCCCCGCTCGCTCCAGCCGGCTCCCCTCGCCCCTCCCCTCCCTGTAACGGCGCCCCATGACCTCACCAGCGGCTTGCCCAATCAAGGCCCCCCAGGGCCCCCCGAGGGGCTCCGCCATTGGCTCCCCCATTCCTTCCCTGCCCTCCCCCACCCCGCGCTGACCGGAAGTCGCGACCCCCCGCATAACTGCCCCTCACCGGAAGTCGGGACCCCATTCCTGCACAGCGCCCCCTCCCGGGCGGGCTCCACCGCTCCCCTCCCTCCCTCCGTCCTTCCGTCCGTCCGTCCGTCGCCGCTTCCCTTACCCGGGTGGTGCCCAGCTCCATCATCACCTCCTCGAAGGCCGCCGTCTCCTCGGCCTGCCGCTGCTTCTGCAGCGCGATCTTCTCGCTGAACTTGCGCGGGTTGGACGCCGCCACGGCTGCGGCCGCGGCCACGGCGCCTCCCGCCACCGCAGTGCCGCCGCCGCCGCCGCCGCCGCCCGACGAGGACGATGAGGAGGAGCTCGGCCCGGCTCCCGCCGCGGCCCCGGAGCCCGCCGCCGCCATCTTGGTCCGCCGCCGCCGCCGCCGCCTCCTCCTCCGCCGCCTCACAGCCCTCCCCTCACCCGCGAGAGGAGCGGCAGGGCCGCAGCCTGCCTTCCTCCTCACCGCGGCCTCGGCCAGGCGAGCGGGGAGCACGCCGGGAAGGCGAGTTTGTTTACCATTCCAACAAAATGGAGCGCGCAGCGAGGGGCCGGTGGAAGACTACAGCTCCCGGCCTATCCCACGCGGGTGCGGAGGAAGCGGGGGGCGCTCCGATCCGAAGGACGACGGGAAATGGAGTCCGCTCGCTCCTAAGGTACCGGCTGGCGTTGCAGAGCGGGGACTACCGCTCCCGGCGTGCCCCGTGCGTCCCTGCGCGCCTGGTGACCCCTCCCGCGGACGTTATGGGGAGTTTCCCCGTCTTGGGACAGTGGCGCATGCTGTAATTTGTGGGGCTGCGGGGGAGCTGGGAGCTCGTCTAGGTCACCCTTCTTTGCTAAGCGGGACCAGGCTCAGCGCTGGAATAGAGAAACGGATAATAAAGCAGATGTGCCCCGTGCCATGTACAGAGCGCCTGTCCTCTTAAACTTTTCCTCCATATATTACCATCTGCCTATATTACCTATTGCCTATATTACCATCTGCAGTTTTTCCATCTGCCTTTGCAGTAAAAGTCCGGAACAATATTACAACGCAACATAGACACCATACCAATAATTAAGTCGTCACTTAAATTGGAATCGTAGATTGCAAATTATAGTAATACGTTATTTGGATAACAAAAAAGAGTTAACGCCGTGCGAAGAGATAATCTTATCTGCTGTAACAGAACGACCCAAAAAGGCTTGCTTGTGGGATCATAAGACTTAGCAAGTTATCAGAGCAGTCCCATAATGTCTGCTTTGAAGTAAATCTCAAATTGGTAATTTGCCAAGTAAATACGTGCAAAATTGTAGTCTAAAGCTGGAATTCTATAGCCATTTGGGAATAAGCATTGAACTCCTATTATTATATTGTGAGCCGCCCTGAGGCTTATTGCGATGGGGCGGCATAGAAATGTTTTAAATAAATAAATAAACTCGTGGGATTTATTTCTGCGTAGACAATCTTTCATCCACTGTAATAGTAGCCTCCAGTGTCCATTTGCCCAAAAGTCAGCCCCATTACATTTAAATAGGCTTATGCCTAGGTAAATGGCTATATGATTGCAGCAGTGTAAATACCTTGCAGAGTTAAAAATCAAAGTAACAATACCGCAATCGTGTTAAGACTCCGGCAATAATTAAAATTTTGGGAGGATATAAGTGGGGCGTCCCCCTATCTTTCCCCTCCCTTATCCCTGCAGCAAAATCCACAACTTTCCCCATCCTGGGGCCCTCCAGCCATTTTGGATACAAGGCCCCATCAGCCCCAGCCACCATGCCCAATGTCCAGAAATGCCATTACAGACAAAGACAGCTAGAGGACACCAGATTGCTTGAAGGCTGAGCTACAGAAATAAATGGCAGGGCAGCCCTCCTCTGCCTCTTAGCAAATCATACCCACCCAAAAAGAAACGGCAGCTAAGGACAGCGGCATGCCTCTTGTGAAATAAGGGTCTTATCAACATGCTCACAAAACTGTGAAAGCAGAGATACTGCTGCCCTGTGGAGGCACAGGGAGGGCGAAGTGTCGTCTGCAGCTCAGATCAACTTTTGAGGCTGGCATTTCAGTGTGGCTGCTGTAAGGGGACACACGGTCTTCTTCGGCAATGCCTCGCTCAGGCACCGTTGTGCCAGACAGTCCGCAATCTGCCCGCTTGAAAGAGAATCTGTGATAAAGCTTTGCCCCCTCTTAAATTGCCAACACATCCACCGTTTGATGAGCAACTGCCTTTGCCAGAGATTCAGCCAGAGGTACCATTGTTCTTCCCCTCCTAGCAAGCCAAAGCATCTGGGAAGGACAAGAGCTGGGTCTTGTCTTGGCACTCCTTTTTCCCATGGCTGTTAGCACGCCATCAAAGCATATGACCATATCAGACCAAATTCCAGTGTAGGTCCTTTGGGAAGGAGTGGGACTGGCAGTCCTAGCCAGCCAGTCTGCTAGCTTTCACAGAGCCACACAACAGCTGAACAGTGATTCATCAAGGAGCACCACCGGGATCGAAAATATCTTCTTCCTTTGACATTATTCAGAAATTTGATGGTCAAGCTCTTCTGAAATGGCAAAGAAAGAAAACCTATTTTCCCCCCACATGCTAAGGACAGGTTCCCCGCAGGCAGTACAGCGTACTTAATAATTAAATTTGTCAAAGAATGGCATCTTCAAGTAATAGGTCTCGTACATCACTGCCCATTTTTCCCTGAACCACACTACTTGCTGCATACCTTTCTCAGGCACGCAGGTGAAGAATTTTGCACATTTTTTTCTGGGACAGGAGAATACGGGGCAATAGAAGCTCACACGTGAACCATCCCTTACCATAAATCACCAGCTAGGCAGCCATTGGAAAAAAAGGGGGAAAAAACCTGAGAAACATGCTTAAGCTGAGGTTTTGCAAGGGGCATTAAGAGATTAATCAGGAGGGATTTGTGCTGAGAGAAGCTGGAAAATTGAGTCGATTGCAATCAGGATGGGGATAAATGCAGATCCTGCCTGGCAAGGTAGAAGCACCCCAAATCCAGGGACAGGAAGAACATCCGTCCCCAAGGCCAGGACACAGCAGGAGCGCACATGCTGGAACATAAGTCGCGCACGTACCAGCCACACATCAGCAAACCTGAGCAAACGAGAGCAAAGACAGCTGGTGGCGCCGCGGCAGATGGTGCAGCGACCTAGTGCCTTGCAGATGTGTTGGGCTACCATTCCCATCAGCCCCATCCAGTATGGTCAGAAGCAGAGGATGGTGGGAGCTGAAGGCCAAGACATTCAGCAAATACCAAACTGGGAAAGACCAGGACAGAGTGTTGGACTGCGACAGGTCGATTCCTATCTGAATATTAAGCACACAGATATTTTGTGGTAAATTGCCAGCTCAAAGCTTAACCTACCTTACAGGGTGGCTGTGAGGAAATGTGGGGGCAGCCCTTTACGGAGTGCAGAGCTTTTAGTCTAATCATACATCCCTTCAAACATTGCCAAGGCACATCTTCCACTGACACCGCACAAATTCAGACCCATGACCGGGAGATCCAGCTTCCCCTCTGCCACAAAGCCGAGCCCTGAAAAATTAAACATTGTTCATAATGTGTAAAACAGACATTCTCCTCCTAGTCCAAGGTTAACAAGCCTGGTCAGGAACTAAGCCCTACTCAGCCTATCTCAAGCTGGAGCCTCAAGATAATGCTAAAATCTTAAGGGCAACAAACTTGAGGTTGTGACAAACATACACCCAATCTGAGCCCAGTTCCATGCAGGATAATTTATTTCACCCTTCCTCCACTCCATCAGACCATGTATTATTTTCTTTACTTACAAGATTTTGATTGCACTCTATATTCCGGTATTCTGGAGCATTCCACAAAGAGAAAACAGTTGAAAGAACTCAATAAAACCATGGCTGGTTTGATAGGGAAGGCATCCTAAAATAAAACTGTTTGCATTGCCAGTATAATCCTCTCCCGGGGATCAAAGGGTTGCTTGGAGAATTATTAAAATATTCGGAGGACTCCATTGAAATAGATGGTGGTGCAGTGACTACAAACTTGTTAGCAGACACAAAAAGGTCAATTGCTTTGTACTGGAAAAAAGAAGTGGGACCTCCTTTCACATGAGTTCTACAGAATTTGGAATGCAGCTCTGACACACAAATTTAAGGAAGACGTTCAGGCATGCAAACATCGAATCGATGAAGATCAGCCCATAAGAAAGTGCTTTAGAAAGAAACAGACAATTTTGATTCATTGTGGAAATGGTAGATCTGATTATGTCCAGTCCCCGTCTTTTTACAGTGGCATGACATCTCCTTCCTATGACTTCCTTTTTGTTTCATTTGTACTGCTGCAGTGAAGGTATTATTGGAAATGCCATGCAATTATATGAAACTAGAAATGTATTAGTACAGAGTTGCTTGAGGGCCTATGCGGTGTGGTGATTAAAGATTCCTCAGAAGAGGAAAAAATGCAAGATAAACGCAATGTAATATTTTATTGCCAATTCTTTATGCTTTATTTTAAAACATGTCATCCTTTTAAGCTGTACAAAGACACACACACACTCACACACACAGCATGATACTGCTTTGTAGATATTTCCATTCTCAAGACACATTAATAAACTTGTTTAAGAGAGAAAATTCCACACATTTTTCTTTTTAATGAGCACACCACTGCAGAAAAAACACGCACGGCATGGAGCCAAAGCTGTTTATCTGGTTGCTTTATTCTCATCCCATTAGCAATTTGGCACAGTAAAAGACAATCATGTTCTGTTTGGCAAGAAAGGCGCACGGCGCACGCGAGGCGGAAAGCTTCCTTTCGTGCAAAGGCAAGTTTTCAGCCAGCTGATGTGCCTCCTGCCTCCTCCCTAACGCCCCCGTCTTAAACACCGAGCAAGCATCCCCAAAAGGCACGCCAAGCTCAGACGAGCAGCTTTGCTCACCACGGAAGGGAAGCCACGGAGACAAAATCAAATAGCCCAGGCGAACCACAAGCCCTCCCCCATTCTTGCAGGCAAGCTTTCCCCATCCCTGGTACCACCCTGATGTGCTGGGACTACAACCCCCAGCATCTCCCGGACAGTGAAATCCTGTGGAAGATCACACTAACGATATCCTCTAAACACAACCCGTATGCCGAGTGGTTGAAAAGGAAAACACTGCTCTTTCTAGCTAACTCTTAGGGTTCTTTAAGGTGCAACTCTGCGCATGTTTAGACAGGCAGAAGTCCTGGGCACTGCAAGAGTTTTTCGGTTGGAACATGCATGGGATTGCCCCTACAGAATTTCTTAGTCAAAAGTCAGATTGTGGCAGAAGTTAGAAAACAAGCAGCCACGGGGGGAGGGGGGGGGGGGGGGGGGGGGGGGGGGGGGATGGTCAAGGATGATGAGCACTGCAGTCGAATGCATCTAGCAGGCACCAACATGAGGAAGGCCGTCCTGGGCCCACGCTGCGCCCCATTGCCAACAGGGGTAAGGAAACCTGCTACTCAGATGTTGCAGACTACAACTCCCATTAGACCCAGTCAAAAATGGGTTTTGGGTGCTGCAATCCAAAACGTCTGGAGCGGTTCCAGGTTGCCTAGCTGTGGTTTACAATATTTCTCCACCCTTTAAAAAAAAACCTTGCTGCACAACACTCAGGCATTCTGTAACAGCCAAGCCTGCATAAAAAGGATGCCCAGTAGAGAAAAATATTTAATAGAAGAAAGAAACCACTGATAAACATCAATAAATTAAATGCCAGGCAACATAAAGAGCTGGTAAGGAACTATAAGTATTTTCCATCCAAGCAACATGCAAAAATTACTGGTGCTGGGGGCGTCTTACGTGTTGCCAGCCAGCCTGAGACAGGAAATGGTCTGTAAGAACAAAGGCTGTTTTCTAGTCAGTTACTGCTGAAACCCAACATTCAGAAATGCCTGGCACTATCAGAAATGATGGGCTGATACACAGCCAAACTTTCAGTGAAAAGTGGCTGTTTTATGCTTGAGAAGATAATCTTTCTCTTTCTTGAGAAAGATTCCACTTGGGCATTCTGCCCTCTTCCCTTCAGGTCCTGCCCCAGTCCTTGATCGCTGCAGAAGCACCACAGAAGAGCTGGTGGGCACCCAACACACCCGTTAGCTGCCTGTAAAATAACATGCTGGCAGACCCAGAAGGAAAGACTGGCTTTCCTTCATTCAGTGTGTGGGATGTGCTAAAACAGAGGGGCAACTCACAGCCTGCCTAGGGCCACTGCCCCCCCCCCCCGCCCAAGTATGGCCCCTGCCGCTGGAAAATTTGGGCCAGCAACAACATTGGTGGCTTGCCGCCCCATCTCAGCAGCGAGCCTCAATCGCGGCCTAAAGAAGCCACATTTAGCTTCAAAAGCCGGCCCTTCTAAGCCACTCGCGGATGTTTTGCAAGACACAGCGGTGCTGTGACCTCTGGGGTGTTCCAGAAGGTTCAGAGCAGGCCACCCCGGCACTAAAGGCTGCAGCTTAATACGGAGACAGTAACTCTTTGCATGCAGAAAGTCCCAGGTCCACTCCGCTCCAGGCATTTCCTGTTAAACAGCTTCACATAGCAAAGAGCTCCATCATCACTGCCTTTGGCTGATGGCAGTTACAGTCCAGCAACATCTGGAAGACCGCCCCACCACTCAAGTTGGGCTAAACCAGCCACTGAGCCTTAGATTTTCCAAGGACTACCTTTTACTTTCTCCTAACCTATTAGACCATACTTAAGGTTTGGCTGCAAACCTAGCTTTAAACCCTGGTTGATACTGATGTGCAACGCATGGCTTCCATAAACCATAGTTCAGGCGAGAGATGATGGTTACTTACGGAGTCCAATTAGAAAGGCTGACATTAGCCATGCTGAAAACCAGGATTCCACCCAGAGTTTGATGTGAATGCGTCAAGCATGGCTTACCTAAACCATGGTTAACTGTTGCTTCTGGACTGTACAAGCCATGGTTGAGACAGCTGCTCTGCTCCCTTAGGAACCCTGCTTGCAAAGCAGCTACAGGTCTTGCCTCTGCCTTCCTGCCCAGGACTTCTGTGGGCGGGACTTTGCCGCAAAAGCTAAACCATGGTTTCACCGTACATTGCTGGGTTATGGGAAGAACAGAACCACGGTTGAAGCGACAGAACTGTGGTTTGTGCTACTACTACTGTTAGACCTATGTACACAAGGCCCAAGAGCTGAGTCTTCCATTCACAGATGCAACGTTACTCTTGAGTCCAAGATCTCCATCTCTGAATTCAGCTTGACGAAGCCTTTTGTGTAATTCAAAGTAAAATCAGCTTTTAATTTCTGCAACAGAAGTCAGTTTGATGACGGGCACAATTCTGATGTTTCCTTCTCAGACTGCTGTGCGACAGCCAAAAGTCAATCCCTCTTTTCTTCCAAGGTTCAGGCCGATGTGTCCGTCACTCAACAGCTATGCGCATGCCTGCCAGTCTCTTGATCGAACGTGCAAATTGCCACCACAGAAAAAATGGGGCGTGGCCGGGGCAACAGTTCCATCTGCACTGCTTGATCAGTGGCGGCCCTCCCCCAAAAGCCGTCGCTCGATGCCAGGCATGCCATGGGGGAACTCACTCGGCAAACCCCACAGCATCCCCCTCAAAGAAGGCTCAAGCGAGGCAGAGAAACTGCATGGCACTTAACACAGAGAAGGAGAGCACCCCAGAAAACAGAAGGCTCCACTGCATACAAAGAGCCAGGTTGTCGGGAAAGGAGCGTCTTAAATCTGGAAGTATTCCTATGGGAGGTATTTCTGCAATCTACACAGATGCAGAGAAGTGGAACCAAGCCCTTCTAAGACCTCCAAGGCACCAGTGGCATTAAGACCCGGGGGCTGCCGTCCAGGAGGCTGGTTGAAGCAGCACTGTGGCACAGGGAAGCAAATTTCACACCGGGGGCTGAACGGCTATTGCTCTGTAAACATGAAGACGATAATCCCACCTGCCATTCTCAAAACCGGAGCCTTACTTAATCCTAAACCCAGCAAGGGGCTGTCAAATTATTTCTTCAGCCTCTGCCAAAATGTCTTTCATGGCTAGAAATGCATTCGTTGCACGAGAGGTGAGCCGACAGTATCTCCAGTGGGTTCTTCCAGGCCCAGTGGGTTCTTCCAGTGGGTTCTTCCAGCACCGGCCGATATATCTGGGCCTCGACCACAGCTGGGAAGGCACCCCGAGACTGTGGGATCCTCGACTGCCGCTTACAACTGAGAGGGCTACCAGCACCAGCAGAACTCGGCTCTCAAACAATCAAGCCATGTTTCTAGAGGAGAATGATGCCGTCTCTCCCTCCCAAACCTTGCTTTCAGTTTAAAGTCTGAGAACTCTAGAAGGAGAACCAATTGGACAGGAGGAAAAATGCCTGTGGGAGCGTCTTGCCCAAACGGGCATCCTCAACCAGCAGGGCCGAGGTGGGTGTTGTAGGCCAGGTGGAGGCACCAGGCTGGGGGAGCCCGATGCAGGGGAAAGCCCACCCCACCATAACGAGGGCAGAATGAAGCAGTGCTTTTGGGGGGGGGGGCTTTTTCACCTGTGGGTGACTCTGGGGCCCCCCTTCCTCTTCCCCATGCCAAGAAACCACCCTCCCAGCCCCAAGGGCACAGAGGCAGGGGTGCCCCTGCTGCCCACTCGGTGCTCACACACACCGGCCCCTTCCTTTCAGATCTTGACGAACAAGATGCTGGTGACGAGCGCGAAGCCAACCAGGAGGACGATGACCTTGAGGATGCGCTGCTCGGAGGAGCTGAGCTCGTGGGGCAAGATCTCCAGGAAGGTGATGTAGACAAAGGTGCCGGTGGCCAGCCCCTCCAGCACGCAGCGGGAGAGGTGAGGCAAGGGGGCCGCAGGGCGCTCCGTCAGCAGCACGCCCAGCCCGATGCCCAGCGGGGACATGACGGCGAAGAGGACCAGGCAGGCGGCCACGGCCCGCGGCCGGAGGCGGCCCTGCAGCAGCTTGAGGCTGAGGCTGAAGGCGACGGCGCCCTTGTGGATCAGCAGCGCCAGGCAGATCTCCAGCGCCTGAGCCCCGTCCTCCTGCAGCCCCACCGCCAGCCCCTCGGAGACGGAGTGCAACGCCAGGGCCAGCAGCAGCACCACCGAGCGGACGGCCGAGTGGGCGTTGAAGTCCACGTGGACGTGGGGCTGCTCCCGGGGCAGCGGGGGCGGCTGGCGGGGCAGCGGTCCGTCGGGCCAGCCGTGCTCCTGGACCGTGGGGGAGGCGCGCGAGGCCGTGCCGAGGAGGGCCTCCGTCTCTTCCAGCGAGCCCAGCGGGTCCCTGTAGGCCAGCACGATCTGCTCCAGGATGAGGACCAGGAAGAAGCCCATCGCCAGGATGAACTCCTGCAAGGGGAAGTGGAGCTGTGGGGCGCGGGGAGAGGGAAACAGGAGGCATGAGCAGGTGGAGTTTGTCTAGCCTGCGCTTGTCGAATACAGACAGGACTTGGATTTTTATTCTGTCATCAGCAGCCGGCAAACATGACTGACAGTTTTCAGCTGTTACATCGGCCCTATTGCACAACTAAGCCCCAAAGCCGGTAGGACTGAATAGAACCTCCACATCCCAGAGCAGTCTATCTTTGTAAACCAGCAGAACACGTGGGGGAGGGCTTGTGCTTCCACACACACCCTACCTGTGGGTTCACCTGGGCTGGCTCCTCTGGGAAGACAGGAGGCCCAAATGCCACTCACATCTTTTTGAGGTTCCTAACAGATATTCTTTGGCTTTGCATTCTCTGCCTCACAATCCTTTGTTTTATTATTATTATTATTATTATTATTATTATTATTATTATTATTATTATTACATTTCTATGCCGCCCCTTGCCGAAGCCTCGGGGCGGCTTACAACACAATAAAATACATTGAAATACAACAGAACATAGTTTTACTGCTTTGGGAGAATCTGTGAAAGGAAATCTTTTTCTGTGCCTCCCATTCAACTTCCAAACTTGCTCCATGCCCCTTCAATGTCCCCTTTCTATAATCATGAGGGCCAGAAACTTACTTCCCTACACCCCTTCTTTTTTTTCCTTTAGCTCCCCTCCAAATCTGGAATGCCCTGTGATTACGAATTATTATAAACCATACAAAATAGGACTCACGACAGCCCACTCTGGACTTTTTTCCCAGTTCTGGGGGACCAAGGCACAGCACGCACGCCTGCTGAAGGAGACCCCCTACACTGCCATAGCCAGTAGCTGCTGGTCCTCTGCAGTAGCCGCTGCGTGCATGCGCTGGCATGCGCCGGCATGTGTGCACACTGCAATCCAGCCCCTCACTCACCGTGACTCTAAGGTCATCAAGGGCCTTGTTCATGCTGGCGAGATAATCAGGAATCAAGTCCAGGAGGCAAGTAGCCAAGAAGACGCCACCAGCGAAACAGCTCACCAGGCTTAAACATTTCCTCCGGGCGGCTGCAGAGAAGGGGAAGGGGCGGAGGAGGAGGAGGAGAGGGGCCATTACGATCCTTGCCGGGAGTCACCTTGCCGAAGGGCACTTCGCGAAGCCTCCATGTTGCTACTGATGGGGCTGCAACCCCGAAAACCCTTTCATCGGAGAGACCCGAAGTGCAGGCCTCCTGCAGCCCAAGGGCCGCACTTCGTTCAGAGCAGCTCTGCATCCTAGAGGTAGGAGGGGCCAAAGGCAAAACTAGGCGGGGCCAAAGGGAAGGGGGTGGGGCCAGCATATTTCGGCTTCGAGCTTTTACTGTCAGTGACTGAGCTGGAAAAGAGGGATTTAAACCGTTAAGAATGGGAGGAAATATGCAAAAGCCAGGAAAGCGCAGAATAACTGGTGGCTGGGCAGTGGGGGTGAGACCAAGGAAAAGGATGGCGAGTATCTGGGGAAACCCAGAGGACAAGACTGGGACGTTAATTGCTAATATTATTTATTTATTTATTTATTTTACACCTTTGGCCAGGTCGTCTCAAATTATATTGTTTTTATATTGTTATTATGGGGCGGCACAGAAGCTTCCTAGATAGATAGATAGATAGATAGATAGATAGATAGATAGATAGCCTGTGAGTCACAGAAGCTTCATTCATTCATTCATTCATTCATTCATTCATTCATTCATTCATTCATTCATTCATAAATAAATAAAGAAAGAAAGAAAGAAAGAAAGAAAGAAAGAAAGAAAGAAAGAAAGAAAGAAAGAAAGGGCATGTGAGCCATAGAAGCTTCCCAAATAAATAAATAAATTTGGGCCTGTGAGCCAAATGGATCTGCGGCCTTGATCTGGAAGGCACACGGACAAGAAAAACACACTCTGGAAATATCCAAAGTGGGGAAACCCAACCCAGTCCGGGACACTGGGTTAAGCTACGGAAGGGGCCACTGGCTGAGCCAGCCTCACCCGAGGAGCTGACGGAAGCGCCGGGCCGACGGAAAATCCACAGCGGAAGGAAGCCGCACACGAGGGTGACCAGCAGGAGAAGCGCCAGCGAGCCGAGCTTCACCTCCAAGCCCGCGGCGGGGCGGCGTGGCCCCGCGAGGGAGTGGGCCCCCCAGACCGTGTGCTGGAGTTCCGCCTCGTATCCCAGCGGCTCAGCCATGCCTCCCAGCGAGGTCTGGAACCCAACTCCCAGCCGGACCTGGGCAGCGGCCTCAAGCAGTGGCAGGGCTGAGGGGAGACGGGACGGGCGGCCTCAGAATGGTTCAAGCTGCCGCCATCCTCTTCATCCCGGTCGTCTGACACGTTCAGCAGCTCGAAGGGATGCGGACCTGGAGAAAGAAAAGGGAAATGGAATCATGGGAAGAGCGACGCGATCAGCAATCTCGCGCACAGAGGAAAGAGAACCCATGAGCCACCACTGCAGACCCCCAGCTCTTGGAGAGCAGCCTATTTTGACATTTGTAGAAATGTGAATGCGGGGGGGGGGGAGCAGAAAAAGAAAAATCCCCCAATGGACCATTTCTGATTTCCCCCCAAAATTGAACAGCTTTGAATTCTGACCTATTTCCTTTCAGAGTTTAAGACAGGGTCTTTACATATGGCTATTCCCCTCAATGATTTCAATACTTCTGCAGAAAGATATGAGATGTAAAAAAAAAAAAAAAGTCTGGAAATAATGAAGTCATGGGAGAAAATTACTTTTTATTGCTCTCTGCAAGATCCCCACTTAATCTTTCCCTTCCTTGCTGAAATTGCTAATCTCATGGGTGCTTTACTGTAGCAGACACTGAGAGACGCACCAAGGCCATCTCCAAATCCAAACAAGGAGAATCACCATAAACATATGGAAGAAAATGTGCCTGCTTAACTGCAGGTTTTGTCTGGCAGAACCCTGGGTCTCTGGGCATTTTCTGGGCAGATGCCTCTGGCCAGTCCATCACGATAGTTCAGATCTAACACTGACACATCCAAAAGGAAAAAAAACCCACGGTAGCCTCTCCTGTCGCTGTCAGCAGTTGTGACGGAACAGCATAGACATTATCCCGCTTTGGAAAACTAACTTTGAAGCTTGGTTTCATGGACCTCAGTGCCAAGTTTTCAATCCTTCCTGCTAAAGAGTGGTATCTCAGCGATAAATGTGTTCAGTGCTGCCTTCAGAAACCTACAGAAACAAGCTTAGGAAATCCCCCAAACTTCCCAGAAAACAAGAACAGGGGGTCTTTCTCAGCTTCTTCAGGGAGAACTTGCAGAAGTTCCCCTGGGGTGGACAAAAATAGAATGCATGATGGTGCATTGATTGGTATGTTAAATTTAAAAGCAGTGTGTATCCCAACAATAATTACGTATTTGCTGTGCTTTAAATGCAAGCAGTCTGATTTAAATCCTGCAGCATGTTTTAAATCTTTGCACTGCTGCTCAGTCTTACTCCAGTTCTTATTTCTATACTGCATTTTTTGCTAAATTGTTTTAAATGGTTGTGAACTCTCCAGAAAGCTTTTGCTGCTGGGCAGCATAGAATGTAAGTAATTAATATATCAATAAATGTGTAAACAATGATAAAGTGATGACCAAGCCAACTTACCATGTCACTTTGGGCACATAAAGGCTGCTTTTTTTTCTAAAAAAATCTCTCCCCAACTTGGCCTTTCAGATGTTTTTCGCTACAAAGCTCGTTATTCCTAACCATTTGCCCTGATGACTGAGGCTCATGGGAACTGAAATCCCAAGTATATCTGGAGGCCATTAGCCTCAAGAAAGCTATCCTAAAGCAACGAAGTGACTTTAGATGTGTAAACAGTCCCGAAAAAATAAATATTGCTTATCTTCCCCAAATTTCCACCCCAGCCCCAGCCCCAGCCCCAGCCCCATGGCTTCAACATCTCTGGAAATTACATTTCTAGAAGGCCAAAGCAGCAAGAATGGCACGGTGCCACCTAAAGCATCGTTTGTTGTGGGCGTACCAGTAACTCCATGTTTATGATGGATATAGTTGCGGATATTCCATACCTAGCTTGCAATGGGGTAAAATTGCTTTTGTCCATGCACCAAGAGCTCCATATTTATGAAGGAAATATCGCACAGTTCGCACTAATACGAGTAACTGAACCAGTTGTGACTTTTCTTTCTTTGTCTCCCCGCTCTGTCCAAATTTCTAATGTAAGCTCTTTGGGACAGAGAGCTAACAGACTCTGTCCAATACAGACTGCCCTGCGTAAGTCCTTATCACGCCTTGGTTTTCTCTCCTTCCACTAGTCACTGGGAGACAGGAAGCTCCAGGAGAAGGAAGGATTTTCTTATTTGAGTGTGCAAATTAGAAACCACCCCGACACGACACGGGCAGCAAGAGGAGGGGACAACCCCTGTCACCAGCCGCGGCTTTTAATCGGAGCCAATCAGCAAATCCTCACCCGCATTCTGGGAACTTCCTGGACGCTTTTACTAGCAAGTGACTCATCCCTGGCCCAGGAGATTCCAGTAATCTCTCCCCACCCTCCTCCGAGTACAGGGGGAAAACATAACAACCTCTGACCTCCAGGCCTTGCTCGACAAACACAACTGCACGCAGGACACAGACTCAAGCCGGGCATGACCGGAAGGCCAGGCAAGGCAAGGCAAGCGGCCCCGGAAAGCAGAATTTTGGAGGGACCAGAGAAATGATACGGCTGCAACTGGGAAAGGATGGGGGATGCAATCGGACCAATCCTTATCGGCCACCCAAAACACAGGCCATGGGTGCAAAGAGGAAACAATTCATGACATGATGCCCCAGCACATGTGACTTGCCCCCATCTCTGCTGCTTTTATCACAGAGCCCACATCCTCCATAATCTACGTCCAATTATAGCCCACCAGCACCTTGGGACAGAGACCCGTTCCTCTCGCCCACTTGTCAAGTGCAGCATGCACAGACATTAGAAGCAAAACCAAAGTTGCGTGCGGAGAAGGCCCAAGTTAAAATGAAAACAGAAACCCAGGAACCAAGGACCACTTAAGAACCCTCGCAAAAACAACAGGTTTTTGGTTCCTCGTGACACCCTGAGGACTAGCAACCTTGTTTTGTGTCTGCCTCCTGATATGGGTGGAACATGCAAGTTAGGGGCCACTTAACTGTGCCCAAGGACTTTGAAACCAACTCTGTGCCAATCCACTGCACACTATGAGCATGCATGGAGTTTTACAGGTGGCTCGACTTAAAACTCCCATCACCCTCTTGTAGACCGGCTGGGATGATGGGAGCTGTAGTCCAACCCATCTGGAGGGCACTACATGGGCATCTAAGCCCATGCAAATGTCCTTTAATTCCCTGGGGCAGGAAATGTTGAGGATGATGGAGCAAGTGAGCCAAACTTTACAATATGCAAAGATCCAACAGTCTCAAGGTCCCATGTTCCACCTCTTTGTGGCTGGGAGTTCTACAGGGATTCAGAGCAGTCCACACACACTTCGAATTGCACATGGCCAACTCTCGCACGACTGGACGATCACCTCTCCCGCATTCACATCCAGCCCTGAGCTGGACCGGGACTATGGCGCTCTAGGAATACAGACAGGAGAATTTAAGCTTCCCACGTCCCCTTTTCCACCCCAAAATCTCAAGCGCACCCACACGGGAAGTGTGGGGATCAAAAGAATCCAACTTAACACATCCAACTTTAAAAAGCCTTGATGAAATAAGGCGGTTCTTCCATAACTTTCACAATATAAAGGGAAATGATCATACATTTCTTTCACACTAACAATTCAAAGAATCAGGACGACGACTAAATAAATCCCTCTACCAGCAGAAGGTCAACTTGGACCCAGACTGAACAAACACCCAAATACACAGGACCACGTTGACACTCAATGCAAACATGTAACACTGGGCATTCAGGTGGTTTTAATAATGTTTTACTGCTGCTCCCAAGAAGCCTCAAACTTTTGAAGGGCTGCGAGTTCTTCCAAGGTAGCAATCCTATCACACAGCATGCCCAAGAGGGGGTCCCAGTTAACACAGGAAAACTTACTTCTGAGACAGTTTTACTTCCCTTCCTTTCTCTTGGAAGGGATCTCTATTGCCAAGAACCCATAACAATATCCAATCGCATTGCTGCATTTTTATTTTTTTAGCCAGAAGGGGCCTGGCTTAAAAGACCCAGCATGCCTGGGAGTTGTAGGACTGTTCTCCATCTAAAATTGCAGCTGACTGTACCTTTACGAAGGTGCACGTGCCACGAACAGCTGTGAACTTGCCATGGGATATGAACGGGTTTGCTGTACTCACTATCACAGCCAACAGCCTCCAGGCAATTTTCTCCTCAAGGAAACCCAGGGATCTCCTTTAAAAGGTGATCTAAGCCGGCAACCATGACCACCCCTTGTCACTGTGAGGTCGACAGAGGAACTGCACGCTGTGTTTAGAAGCAGGGGGTACAAGGGAGCAAACGGCCCCAAAGCCCCCATAAGGCTGGGGGCCCAACGTTGGTTCTCAGAACTTAAGGCAGCCTTCCCCAAGGCTGGTTCCTCACCATCTTCAACCACCATGGCCATTTTTAAGGCTTAAAGGGTAGCCTAAAAAGCCCCCATCTCTTTCCTTAAATGGATAAAGTGCTGGGCAACAGCTCCCATCATCCGCAGCCAGCATGCCTGCTGGTACTTACTTGGGATGAAGTAGATAGCATTCCGACATAGCTGGAGGATGCCAGGTTGGATTCAGGCTGGCAGTATGGCAGTGTACACCAGTTGCTGGGGAACATGGGCAAGAGGGTGCTGTTCCACTCACTCATGCATGTGGGTTTCTTGTGAGCAGCTGTTAAAAACCCTGCTGGATCTGTCCAATGTTCTTGATACCTTCCAGGTGTGCTATCTGACACTGCACTCTTCCCCAGCTAACACCTACCCATACTGGGGATGCTGAAGAGATCCGGTCCAATACACTTTTTAAAGGAATCCTCTCAAGGCAGCACAAAGGAAAACAAGAATCCATAAATTTGCGGAAACATATTCAATAAAATGTGTTAACAAGAGATGGAGGATGTTAAAGATGCATTGAATGGAAGTCTAATGCCCACTGAATAAACCTTCTATTCCTGCCTCCCCTAATCTAGTGTCCTGCAGATAAGTTCTGGACTTCAGCTCCCACTATTCTTGAGCACAGAAACATTGAAACTGAGCGAGTCAGAAGGGGTCTCCCAGGCCATCTAGTCTGACCCCTGGCTCCAGCTGGCTCTGCTCATGGCATGCCCACCATGAGCTAGGCCATCTAAGACTGATAGAAACTGGAACCCAAAAGACCTAAAAGGCCATTATTATTATTATTATTATTATTATTATTATTATTATTATTATT